AGCGTTGCACATGCCTCAGTTTCGCAAACATTGGGACAAATGATTCGCTGCGACAAAGTGGCGTGCTGTATGTTGGTCAAGTAAGCGGCACTCGAAGGCATACGCTACAGTGCGAGTCAACGGAGCGAGCGCGGGCGGCCAAATCACAGCGCACTCGGCTCTCGCGTCGCGATTGTTGATTCAGAGCTCTGCGTATCCCTATGACATGTGCGCGGGTGTTCATAAACGGCTCGTCTCGACTGCACGCGGGTCGAATTGAACCAAAATGAACAGCTAACAGCGCAATAAAAATCGATAGCAACGGTAGTACACACCCGAGGAACGACGCGCGAAGCGGCGTGTTGTCCTCTCGGCACTCCCGTCGAAAAAGACAGAATGAAGACACGAATACTATATATATACAAGAAATACTGCGCGCAGAAGAGAATGGAAACACTTAAAAACAAAAAACAAAAATACACTGGAATAGATAAAAATAAGTAATGGAATCGAAACGCAGAGGATTAAGAAGAGGAAAGCAACAAGGCAATGCGATCTCAAGGCAGAGCGGCCAGGCGAGGGACAGCCTCTCCCACAATTCCTCGTGCGCGGGCCGGGGCACTTGGGGGATTTCGCAAAAGGTGTATTGTGAGAAGTAGGAGTGAGTTGTTAAATGCATTAGTTGAACCGGATAGGCGCTGAAAGTAGTAGGAGTTGACATGGCGACTGCGCAGGAGTTTGAAGGAATAAACTTCTGATAGTGGAATGATTGTGATAAGAATTGTTGATTAAGCAAAGAGTAAAAGTAGATATATCTAGGTTTGTTTTATTGCAAATAGATTTCTGAAATTGTAATTTGACAAGATGTAGCAGGGTGCTCGATTTTGGACTGCTTCATTTCGTTTCACAGTGAAACGTATACAGTGTAGACCGCATGTGACGTATGTTGCGGGAGTCGCGAAAATCCGCACTATAAGCGGTACCGCGCTATAACCAAAACATCAATTTTTCAGGCCAAAATACATGACATGAGACAACTTACCTTTGTAAAACAATTTATTTTATGTTAGATGAAAAATAAAGCTTAGTTTGAGGAAAGTCTTTATTTCACCAGACTAGTACACTTCTCTCTCAAGTGTGTCACGCATTTTGAAAGAAATGAGCGACTTTTGCCTGGCGCAGCCTTTTAACGGCGTCGCGGGTTGCGGACGGGCGTTGCGAGCGTTCAGGATTGCTAACCCTAATCACTTTTCTCCGGCGATGAAAACGCGTGAAAATTCGCATCCTTTATACGGTATGCGCCAGTAATACCTTCAACTTGAGCACAGGCATGAAATGCTCCAAATAAGAAATCCGGGCGATGTTCGAAAAGCACAAATGCTTAGAAGCACCACTGTAGTCGAAGTAAACAAACACGACGACACGGGCGTTTCTGCCGTCTTGAGAGCGCCGTCACGATATCGCCGCACGAGTATGTGGATCTTCCCTTCTAGTACGTGCTGGGTTATCATAGCGACACAACGAAAATTCACAGTCAAGGATAGGGCTTTTACGCGGTACGATGAGCTTCTACCAAAACTGACGCCATGTTTGCGGATAGAAGCAGCCGGCCCGCGACCGGCATGCAACGCGCGCGAACACTTCTCCTCGACCTGCGATTGGTCTGTCGTTGCGGTTGTTTCCAATGCAGCGGAGGTACGCACGCACGTGAACGACACGTGCGTGCGTCCCTCCGTCGCTATGGCAACTAAAGCCTTTCTCTTCGCTTCTTCGAGCAACCTCCTTGCCCCGCGAGTGCCGTTTGCGGCTCGCGCCGTTATCTAGTGTCGCACAGGGAAGCGTGCTAGCTGCGTCGGCGCGGTCGGGGGGCTGTTGCAGAAACCGCACTATAACCGGTATTTCCCTTCATGCGCCTGCATTTTAAGCGGTATGTAATTACATGGAGTTCTATGGGAGGCGAACCGGTGGTTTAAAAAAGCCGTGTTATACCCGGTCCTGCACTATGAGCGGTTACGTTGTAAGTGGTCGATACTGTACTACTAAACTGTTATACAGCGCAGTGTCAATCAGCTTTTAGAATTCCAATTGTTTTCAGATATGTACAGGAAGTACATCCAGGACAATCCCTCCGTGAAGGAGATAGCCGTCCTGGCCGACCCAAATCTCTCTCCCGACAAGAGAGTGGCTGCTGCCACAGCGATGAGGGAAGCTCGTCTCAAGAACATGAACAAGTACATTGCTGAAATGTGTAACGACCAGCAGAAGAAGTAAGTTGGGTGTATTATAGTGCCAGCATTCATTTGCGTATTAATTTCCCTATAAAGTGTGGAAAGAAATGCCATATATGTTCTACGTTAGAATCCTGACTTATGTATTATTGAGGATAATTTGACTTACAAATAGGATTTTATGATCACCTGCTCTGTTTGTAAACCTTTGGGTGCAGTGCAAGCAAACATATGTTAGCACAGCATATCTGTTCCCGGTGTACACGTTTTCCTGGCTGTTATGTTCATGAGCACCAGTCTTGTTGAGCTCCCATAGGAATATCTCCATTAATTTTCCGTCTTTTGAATTCGCGTTCCAAAAGTTTCTTCCGAGTATCTGCCTACACAACCAGGCAACACGTTGGGTTGTGGAGTAGCCAAGTTTGGCCTGAGATGAAACGACAGAAATCTGTTATAACATGCAAAATGTATATTTTGATTCTTTCTCTTTCTCATGAGTATGATGAAAGTTGTATTCTAGTCTCCCTGCATTTTTAATCTTTCTACCTCTCTATAAATGGTAAAAATGCAGTACTTCAGGACAAAATATTCTAGATGCAATTATGACTGTATTAGCGGCGATGAAAACTGAAGGTAGTTGGTTGTTTTTTTTATTTTGGTCATAAGCTGTTATAACTCAGCTGTATGAGTAGCTATTAGTGTTTTGGCAACCTTTATTATTGCGTTGATATTAATGCACTAGAACCCAGATAACAGTGAAAAGATGACAGGGTCCGTCTGTCGACAAACCAATGGAGAGGGAAGCGTATTGGGTAGAGAGGAGGAGAGTAGTGAAGGACAAAGGCGAGAGGGAGGCGACATCACGGGGTTGAAGCCTGTGAGTGCGAGCGGCGCGGGGAATGAGAACGGGTGACGTCAAGGCGCAGCATGCCGAGTGGTGGGGCTCCAGTTGCTGGGGCGAGTCTGAACTGTGCGGAGCGAGTATGCCTTCGTTTGGAAAAAAATTAAAGGAAGACCCATTGGTGGATTCTTAGGAAATCCGTTAGCATTACCTTTCGGAAACTCCACACGTGACCCTTTTTGGGAAGTGCTAACACTGACCCTGTAACGAAGCCATAAAGAGGCAGCAAAAAATAGAGGAAGCCAAAGAGTAAGCCAGGACAGAAAAGTGATGAGGTCATCGTTAGCATTTCCCAAAGGGGGTTATGTGTGGAGCTTCCCAAGCGTCATGCAACACATTTCCTATTAATTAAGTACACATTTTCAGGGCTATGCATACAAGAGCAAGTCAGACATGCTAAATTACCAATCCGGTTTCTATTCTGCTTTTGAGCTTGCAGGGACAAACTTGCCCGAGCACTTTTCGTGGAGGAGGGTGAGGTAAGATCATTAAGACTTTAATGGGCAATTTCTCGTGAAGGGTTGAAAGAACGTTAGTTTTAGACACTGTCATAAAGCAGGATGGGGGGTCAAACTTGGGTTTATTTAGATATGCTGCATGCCTTAAAGTGCTTTAAAGGGCCCCTCCAACAATATTTAAGCATCTGCTTTTTTTGCGCTTTCCGCCTTTTTAGCGGCTTGGGAGATGCTGGGAACAAAAACGAAACCACAAAATAATAGTGTTTCGTATGGTGGCGCTGTGTGGTGCTAAATGCAAGCGACTGTTGACGTGGAGTAACCTGTTTCAGTGACCAGAGTCATCAAACGTTTCTCTCTGGGCATGGAACAATATTTTTGATTGTGTTCCCCGTCCTTATTCTGTATAAAAGTTGTTTATGTTGAGTTTTGAGAGCATTGAACTAAATAGAGTTTCAAAACTTGTGTAAACAACGAGAACAGAACATAGTTGACTTGCCCCCGTGAGGAGCAGTGCCATGATCCCACCATTGGAGGTTCTTGATACGTAATGGAGTCTGTTTTCTTGCTTGATTTTGTCATTTTAATATTTTCATAACTTCTGGAATAATGGGAATTTTGTAATGAAAATTGTTCCTTCATGTTACAAAATCGTCAAAGGGTCGGTCTCACCGCAAGTTTTAACCAGTAAAAAGATTGTTGGAGGGGCCCTCTAAATATTACGCCTGAAAAGAGATTTCTTTTTCCTAAAAGTTTTGGAGTCGAAACTGGCATATCTTTGGGCTTAAAGGTATGTCGCCATGTTTTAGAAAATCCTTTTAGATTTTGATCTTCAAACATGTACATTATGTGTGCCTTGTGAGGGGCAGTTTCGTAAAGCCTTTAGGTGTGTTATCCAACTAAAAATAAAACTAATAATACTTTTTAATTAAATGACCCCAAATATCCGTGTTATAACAACCGTAACGCGATTCGGGCAGAGGCACGGGAAATGGCTTGGTCGTAATGTAGATGTATGAGCAGACTGTCCGGTGAGCTAGAACCTTTAGATTGTCGTAAGTGTGCTATAGCCAAAGTACCAAAACTTCTGTCATTTTGGGTGGTGGTGTTTCAATTCAAGCATCATAACATCAATACTTATTTGTAATTTTCAAATATCCTAGTTGGTTGCACAATCTAATGTGTAGGGAAGATCTGTACCAAATTTGCTTTGAAAAATGTTTATTTATAATAATGTTACGGGCGTTCTCACAGCGAGAAACCTTAGAAAATCAAGTTTTGAGGAAAGCAAAACTCGTCCTAATTTTTCGAAGCTGTTATTTCTACCATGTCCAGAAATACAATTGCTCTACTGGCGTGAATGCGCGAATCCTTTCTATGTTAATTGCATAGCCCCTTTAAACCATCTCATCCTGTCCTCAAAATGTTTCTAATTACAGGAGCCCTTCAGTGGTGCTTCAACCTCGGGGAGCTAAGAGAAGATTCAGTGAGTGCTATCACAACACTTTCTTCTAATACTAATCTTAAAACGTCCCTAATGGATGATGCAAGTGGCACCTCTTGAGGCAAATGAGCTTGCTTTCTAGTCTCTTGGTGAATTTGGATAGTCAATGTTCAGCAAGCTATTACCGGGCACTAGGCAATAGCATTTGCACGATCAAAATCCTGCAAGCGCGCGCTGTTCGAGTGGGCGTTCTTTGGCCAGCTCAGGTAAATTTCTGGCACTTTTTTTCACCCAAGCACCAAACAAATGTTGCTGGTGGGTACCAGGCAATATCCGGTGTGATTGTAGCCAGATTACAAGAATAGATCAATGACGGAATTAAACTAAAAAGGCCTCGAGCTGTTTGTGGGCACATTAAGCAAAAATAAATAAATAAATAAATAAAGTATCAAACTAATCTGTAGTCATTCGGCAGTTACTGATCAAGTCAAATGAAGCCATTTTGAGTTGAGGCACACAACATAAGCAAAAATGCTTTAAGAATGAGGGCATGGGCGACACTGCCGATAACCACCTCCCATCTTGCATAGTCGATGCCATGACTATCACCCGTTTTTTTTTTAGCAGAATGCTTTTATAGTAGTTAACCTCACTTTTTCCGAGTGCCACGTGCTCAGCTTCATCGTCACAGTTTTACGTTGGCTACTTTAGTCCAACTGGTCACTCCTTGCAGTCTACCAACAAATAGTTTTGCCCTCCTAGACACCCCTTATCTTTAATTTATTTGAGACGGGTACCTTTACAGTTTGGCGAATCAGTTAAATACATATCAACAGCATTCTGATTAAGACAGTTTGCTACACAGTGTGAAAAACAACTACCAATTTTTTCTGTTTCTTACTGGTTCAGTCAGATGTGAGTGTGACGAAATGGAAGAGGGCCGAGTCTGTCTTCCAAACTGCGTGTACTTTCTTTTCTGGGTTGAGGCCAAAAATCGAATGGTACAGTAAACGTTTTGTTTCGAGATACAGCGACCTGGCAATCCGCACAAAAAAAAATACCGGAGGTTCTCCTTGCGGGGAAGAGGCGAAACAATCTGCCCGTCTAGCATTTTGAAGGCCACAGTGTGTCACCGACAGATTTCTGCCTGTGCTGCCAGTAAAATTTTGCCAGTGATTGGCCGCCAAAACTTGCCATTTTTGATGAGTCGGACTCAACACCAGCTCTTATTTTTCTTAAAGGTCGACGTACGGTTCGCACATTTAAAGCAATAGCTTTGTGGACGACACTTTGCGGAGATATTGAGCTCGTGGGCTGTCGTCGCAGCTATCAACAGCACACACACAAGCTTCCCCCCGTCCTTCCCGCATGAAGGACTGCCACTCACTTTTACCCTCGCCTCTCTCTTTTTAGACGGAGGTCTCCCACGAATAGAAAGGAGTTTACCCGTGCACATCCACAGGCTTTCCACACGGTGTGCATGCAAACTGTGCTAAAATTAACTGTTGGACTATCATAAAAAACTGACGCACGAAGGACGAAGCACAAAAAAGAGAAGGACACAGGACAAGCGCTTGTCCTGTGTTCTCTGTCTCGTCTTTCGTGGTTTAGTGTTTATATAGGTTTCGGGGGAGAGCTGTTCGCGGAGGTAAGATGCCGCGGGGGGTGACTGCGTCGCCGCTTCAAAGGCGCTTACTCCGCCGAGGCCGTTGTCGAGTGCAGGCAGCTTGGCTAGCTTGGCCACTCTGCGAAAAGTGTCGAGTGGGACACGGATGAACTTGCGGGCAGCCAACGACTCTTGATAGCAGATGCCCCCTTCATATCTATACTTCAATTCTTTCATCCGCATGTTCTTCCCGTAGAAACGACCGTGTCACGGGTGACCAGGTTCACGCAAAACAACGGCCATAATTTCTTCTACAGACCGCTACTATGAGAACACCATCGCACATGCAATAAAGTATCGATGCAAACCGACACTTATGTGCACGTGCGATGGTGCACAGTGCACACGCCCGTGCCATCACGCGGTATGTGGAAATATTGCTCTTGCACTACAATAAAAGAAACATTGTACACCACCGTTTTCACAGTTTCTGCCAGCATTTCACCAGCATTGCACGAATATCACACAGCTATCACCACTGTCATTTCTACCTTCATTCTGGCCAAAAGGTGCCAATTTTTTTGTATATCCCTCTTTCCTAGCTATATCCTTTCCACGTCTCCCATCCATAATGTAACTCCCCCTGGCAGTTTAGGAGAGGGGATTGCTTAGAGATTAACTCCCCTGCAGAATATCAAGGTCGAGCATCAGTCTTTAAGGGGAGGGGTCATATGTAATATTTTATGGGACTGACAGATAGGAAAAAGACATGTCACTGCCTTGATTGGAGCTATTGCTGCCTACGCTGTCCATTTACATGGCCTCTGCTTGAGCCCCAAAACTTTATTTACATTCGGTCTAAGGTAGCAATACATCCGTTGTCGTATTCAAGTTTATCCATGGAGAGGGATATTACCATATCTTCTCTGACATCTATAGCATCTAGAGTGTGGGGGAATGCACATATGTGCATGTGCCCATGCTCCTGACTAGCAGTGCCACTGGCTGTGGTGGAGGAGGCACCTGATCTTCCCTTTGTTAACTTTTCAGGTGTTCAGGTCAACGGTCATGTGCTCAACTCTTTTTCCTGTTTTCTCTTTGTCTTGGGCTTGAAATAAAACAGGTCTGTATGTTTTGTGTTGTTTCTTTTAAAGTGATAGCTTTACGGGTGACACTTTGCAGAGCTTGTGGGCACGCAAGCTTTCTTCCCTTCCTTCCCACGTGGAGGGCTCCCGCTCATATGTGCCCTTGCATGTGCGCACCCTCCTCCTTCTTAGAGGTTATGCACGGGGATTTCTTTCGTGGTGCACAAGCTTGCGAGGGCACCGTTTGAGGAGGATCCGTTGCATTGAAGGCGCCTACTCTGCCGAGGCCGCTGTTGCATGCAGGCAGCTGGGCTAGCTTGCCTGCTCTGCGGAAAGTGCTGAGTAGGAAAGATGAACTTGCGGACAGACGTCGACCCCCAATTCTTTAATCCGCACCCCCTTTTTGTAAAAAGGCTCGGGATGCACCTAAGCACTTAGTTGTGAATGTGAACGTAGAAAGGTCCCGGATGTAGGCGACGGCGCTGCGGTCGTACGGACTGGAGGATCCGACCGGTTTCGAGTGTTCCCAAGGCCTTCGGCGAGCAGCTTTGGCTTGCGGTTTGGCTTTTTGGCGGTATGGCAGCGTAAAGAGGCTCCTGTTCTGACCTGATCTTTACCCCATGTTTGCTGTCGTTTGTGGCCAATGAAATCTCATGCCGAATAAGTGTTTAATCGCGCAGCGAATGCAATGCGAGCCGCCCTGGCCGCCCGCTTCACGCAGCCTATCCAGAACATGCTTTAGTGGCGCCCTCTTGAGCCGTCGACACGGAGTGCGGCAGCCCTGAGAGCTCGCTGAGCTCACTGCCCCTCCTCTAGTTCACAGCCACTCAAGCAACCAAGGACGTCTTGAAGGAGGTTATTTTTTTGCTTGTTTTTGTAATTTTAACTTGCCTATAACTTTTAAAATAAAACGAAATTCGAGAAAAGAAATGTTTTGCTAAGTTACTACGTTCAGTGCACTCAGGTTCGGTGCAAATTAAAAACCAGTAAAAAAAGTCCTGGCAGGGCCCCTTGAATGCACGTTGCAACAGATCATTTAGAGGTCTAGCGTGCTCATGTAGGCCTTAAGGTCTCATTATATAGATGGGATCCTGTATGCGGATACAGATCCTATGTAGCTATACGAAATCGTGTATGCGGGTCCAGATCCTATATAGCTATACGGGATCCTGTATGCGGGTCCAGATCCTATATAGCTATACAGGATCCCGTATGCGGGTCCAGATCCTATATAGCTATACGGGATCCCGTATGCGGGTCCAGATCCTATATAGCTATACGGGATCCTGTATGTGGATTTGGGTCCCGTATATGTATATAGGATCCTGTATCCAATAGCATCGTATAAAATTTATACAGGACCCATATGAGATATGTATGCAGGTTTTTTCAATAGGGAAGACGGGCCGGGGAGGAGGAAGCAGGCGGAACGCTAAAGAGAGAAGGAGGTTTTCCCCTCTCTTCTCCAGCGTTCCGTCTGCTTCCTCCTCCCCGACCCGTCTTACCCTCGCCCTTCGTTCTTAGGTTGCAACGGACTACAGTGACTCGTAGAACAACTTGTATAACATTGTTATTTTGCTGAGTATTCTGCAAAACAAGTTCGTCAGACCACTTTCCAAGCCTGCGCATCTATTTTCGTTCACTTCAACGGCAACAATTACTGTAGAATTTACTTACCTGATGCATCACACTGCAGTGATCCACCTCCGCCTCCGACTGTACGTTGCAAATCTTAATTTGTTTTTCATCTGTATAAAAGCAGATATTAATTTACTGACAGGATGACAGTGCTGGTGGGCCCAAATCTAATTATGTATTTGCAATCTGAACTGCTGATAATGTAGTTGCAGGTAGTGACTATCTCAATTTAGTGGAGCAAGTCAATTGATTGTTCAGGAGAGGCTCTGCCCAGTACTGTTATTCACATGCTTCAGGCCCTTCTACCGTTAAGAAAATAGTGTTTCACCCTCTTTGCACACAGGAGCAGAGGGATCAAAAGTCGCTTTTTTAGGGGCAGGACAACACTGTCATACTACTATAGCCACGCTTTTAACTCAACAAATGGTTGATGACAGAACAGGAAGACATCATTTCATGACTTCTTTATGCAGCGTAGCACGATACAGTCATTGCTTACCTGACAGGCGAGTAGTTGTAATAACGAGTTGGTAAGGTTGCCAGTATCCCACATGAATAAATACTATCTTAAAGGCGTGATTTCGAAAGGTAGTGTTCATTTATTTAGTGCATAAAGCAGCCTGGCTGTGGCAACATCATAAGCAACAATACCACCTTAATGGTAGTGACCACATCCCTTGTGTCACCTTACTAAAAGTACTGCAAGAAAGAGCTGACATTACCTCTACAGGTGGTTTGCATCGTCATAAATCAAGTTAAAGCGATTTGCTAATGGTCTGAAAATCCTAAAACAAGTGAAAGTGATTTACTGGTGGAGTGAAATTACGAAACATTTTGAGGGCATGCATTGCTGAAATCTCACCCTATTAGCATCTGTAGCGTACATTTTGTTTGGGAATATGCATGCTTCCTGCTATTATTACAACAAAGAAATGGGGTTCAAAGTTTTGACTAACATAGCTTTTGAGCATAGGGCTAGATTGACGTTGTGAAGGAATATTGTGCTTTATTTATACTGCATTGCATGTCATTTTGAATATGTTGTGCGGCTATCTTTTTCTTTATTACAGCTACAGTATGTCCTAGCTTATAAACAAATCAAGACCTTGATGCTACTCGTCGCTCTAACCTTTAATTTGCTATCCTAGGTGCTGCAGTGGCTGCTCCACCTGGTGAGGCCGTGGCCTCCTCTTGGCCACTTCTCTTTGCTGTCCAAGATGGTGAGGTACGTATCTGGGCCTACAAGACATTTTGTCTATTGTTTTCACTTCATTGACTTGTTCAGGAGAACAGACTAATGGCAGAAAAAACAAGGACACAAACAGGCAGGCACACAAAAAGGCAAACACAGGTACTGACAAGTACTGACTTAAAGGTGCACTAAAGATGTTTCTCAGATTGTCTGTTCTTGGTGATAACTCATTCGAAAGGCTCTAATCATCCTAAATATCCCAAAAATTATGCTCGTTCCATTCCTATTTTCCTTCTAAAAATAGAAATAAAAGAACATACCTAAATCTTGCCATAGGACGAGCAGGTGAACTATCTTTGAAAAAGTGTACATGCGGATGACAGTGACATCAGTGCTATCTGATAGCCGTGTCCCACAAATTACAGTTTAGCAGTGCCAATAATACCTATCCAGGGGTTAGTAAGCTAGCCCGCTTCACTAGTGTAGACTTGCAAAGAAGACAGAGTATGGATGGATGGTAAGGGCTATACCCTTTGTAACGGGCGGCAGCTTGTGCCACCTAGCCTTACATTTCGTCATACCTTCTTTTTTTTTAAATTGTACAAATTTTGTTCTAACACAACCCCACCCCCCTTTTTAAAGTGATTATATTGCTTATTTATATCATTTCGTTTATCCTTCCCCAGATCTTATCCACCAATCTTCCAATCTCCTCTTAGTTACCGCAATTCTTTCTCTATCCATTTGTCCATCCATGTCCGGAAAACCCAGTGCCCCCTCCAAATCCGTAGTTATCCGCTCAAGAGGGTGGGACGAAGCCCCGTGCGCCTTAAAATTACATGTTCTATAGTTTCCCTTTCGCGTTTACATACGTCGCACAGAGCGTCCACTTCCTGGAATTTAGCCCTTTACGTTCTCGTTCGTAGCACCCCCGTCCTAACTTCAAACAACAAAGAGCTCCCCACTGAATTATCATACAGCTGTTCCTTCTTTATTTTTTTTGTTTTTATGCCCTGTATATTGTTAAAGCCGATTTCCCCTGCATTCTCTCTTCCCACAATTTCCTCTCTGTTTCCTTTACTCCCTTTTCTACTGATATGCTCTGATCGGCTCCATCTCGTTGAATGTACTTAAATATCAGCTTGCGGGTTCGGTTTGTCCACTTAGTGTTTAGACTTTTTATATATAGCTACTTGTACACTTTCGCTGCCCACCGTGTCTCCTTAATTTCACCTAGTCTTATTTCAGATTTAACTTTACTTATCGCCTCTCTACTCGAAAGATGCCCAACCCATGTCCCACTCTACTCCCTCATTTGTAGTATTCCCATGTGCCCCCAATGCCAACCCACCCACACTCCTTTGCTGTATCTCTAAACCTGCCTGGATTTCTGACCTCATACACAATACCGTATTCCCAAATCATAGTCCTGGCACCATGACTCCCTTCCTTACACCCCTAACGACTTCACATCTATTATAGTTCCATAGTGCCCTGTGTTTCATGACAGCTGAATCTCGTTTCCCCTTCTTTATTACAATATCTTCATGGTCTTTTAGACACTGTCTTCCTTCACTTAACCATATTCCCAGATATTTGTACTTTTCTATGTGTTCTATCAATGTGTCCTTTATCTCAAGGGGTTCCCCCTTCTCGTCTTTATAACCGACTGCGATTATACCCGACTTGTCCCTACTTAATTTTAGTCTTAAATTGTCCCCTTCTCTGCTGCAAATCCTGATGAGTTCCCGTATTGTGTCACGACTTTCTGATATTAGTTCAATGTCGTCTGATACATTAACCGTGGCAATATTTGATTTACTTTATGTCCTTCCTTCATGTCAGATCAAAACCTATGTTGCACTGTTCTAACCTTTTCGCATCTCACTGAGGTATATCATAAAGAGCAGGGGAGACAATGGCCAAACCTGTCTGAGATATCTTTTTATTGCTGCTGGTCTTGTAGTTTCGGCTTCCCATGTTATAATCACCCGTATTCTCCGTATAAACCCATTCTAGAAACTTAACCATGGTTCCCTCTAGCCCATATCCCTTCAATTGGTTCCAGAGTTTTTCCTGATTCACATTGTCATATGCCCCTTTGATGTTTAAAAATGCTACCCATAATGGCCTTTGACTTGTCATTGCTATATCTATGTACTGAGTGATTATGAATAAATTTTCATCCAGTCGTCTACCTTTCCTGAAACCATTTTGAAG